CTGCCTTTACCGTTTAAAACCACCTGAGGCTGCCAAGTTGCAAAGCCCTCAGCACACAGGCTGACCAAACAGAGCCGCTCAGTCTTTGACAAACCCTCGTTTAATGGAAAGTGATTCCTCCTCCCTCCCCTCCCTTCAGGACCTTGGTCTGCTTTGACTCCTAGTTCTCCTTTCCTGAACTTGGGTTCACACATTTAAGGCTGAAGGTTCATCTGTTCATGTGGATTTGTGGGTGAGAGGGTCAAATGTGACTTGTTTGACTAGGTCCGTAGGACAAAATGCATCTAGCCTCTCAGCACCACCCCAGATAAGGCTTAGTTACCTTCAGTCAAGACTGCTTTTAGTTTAGGTGAATGGACTACCTACGTCCCGTTAATGGTTATGATGGTCTCTCTTTTTTTTAATTTTCCCATTTTCCTCCTTCCTTTTTTGTTTCTTTACTATGTGCATGGAAAACTTCACCCTTTACCAAGTCTCCTGGCTCCAGTCAGCATGTTGTCTGAACTCTAGTGTTGCTGATTTTGTCTGGTTTGCAGTCTGCTCCACCTTCTGATTAAAGAAAGAAATTCGATGTTGGGAGATCTTCTGTGTTGGGAGATGAGCAGGGGAGGTTCCCCCTCCTCCCCGGACATGAAGCAGGGAAGAGGAGGGTGAAGACAGAGCAGGTGAAGATTCCTGTCTAAAACTTGAGATGAAGGGGTTATTTTTTTCCTGTCTTCCTTCCACAGTGCTTTAGGAAAAGATTAGCCATTTCAGTGAAAACGGAAAAGAACTAAAAATCATGCACTAGAGAGGGAATCTTTTTTTCATAACCCTGTTGTCTGGAGAGAGACCGGGCAGAGAGACCTGATCCCTTACGAGAAGGGAGAAACAGACCCTGGCTCAGCTGGTCAGTATGACCAGTAGTATCTGTATATGTCCAAAAACCAAGAGTGGAATCTGATCTGATGCACTTCAGTGCAGAGTTTGTAACGTGTTGCTGTGGAACAGGTTTGCCAAGCTCTGTTGTTTGGATACTAAACTCGTTCCTATCCATTTTCTCTAAACAACCATGGTTTCTTGATGCAGATCACTCACATGTGTTGGCATCATGCTCCCTAGATATGGGAGAAAAGAAGTTGGTCCTTCAGGATGCTTTATTCCAAAGTTGTTGCCATAAAGGGAAAATAAGTTTTTTGAGCTGTACTGGAAACTCAGTAGGCTGGGAAAGATGTCTGTTTGGAGGAGTTGGTGATTTCTACCGTTAGTACTGTTTTTAGTTCTGGAAGAACTTTGGTTTTTGGAGGCTATTGTGTCTTTCTGCTTGTCTCTAGGTTGTGGGGAGTGTGAGACTACACAACGGAAAGTGTTACTGCGTTCTGGGGTATGTTCTTTGGAGTGGGACTGATGGAGTTTTCCTAAATGCTCTAACAAGCCTTTTTTTGGATTCCATTTGTACAGCTTAGGGTTGTATTGGTCAATCTCCAAGATGCTTCATTTTTCCTAAGTGGCTTAGAATTCTTGTTTTGTCAAATTTTCTGTAAAGCTGAGATGCAATTAGTAGACTGTAGGAGCACTTGTGAACATAAAAAGCAGCTTAGATGTGTATGCAAGGAGAACGTGCTGTCGAAATTATTTTCTAAGGTGTCCGTATGGAAGAGCTCCAGAAAACGTGCAGGCAGCAGACTTCCACATACTTCTGTTCTGCCAAAACAGGATTTTTGGGGATTTGGTGGTGGTGGTGTGTTTTTTGAGCTAAGTAGTGGGACTTCAGGATTCGTCCTAATTTTGTAGAACTTGAGGTACAGAAGTTTTTTTTTCTTTTGCTGAAGTCTCGTAATTTTTGCCTCCATTAAAAACCAAAAGATCTAAGAAGGCATAGAACATTATTTCCCCTGGACCTAACAGTAGTCAGGTACTGGGGTGGTTTCTTAGTGGTATACTGCAGTGCTTGTTTGTATGAGTAGTAAAAACATCTTTACTATGGAACAGTAAATTTATACAGCACTTGGGCCACTTACTTGTAGAGTGTCCTTGCTGCACCTGACAGCGATTGTTCAGACTTGACAGCAAGGAGATGCTGGCAGTGTGTTACACTGTGGTGTGAGTTTGGGGGGGCTGAAAGACCCAGACCAGAAATGGGGGCAGGTGCAGTAAAGAGGGTATGGGCCCGGTGTTTAAAAGCATCTAAGCTTTTCTAAGCCGCAGACAAGCAATTAAAATAAGTGGTCACCCGATGTTCAGAGAGAAGGCAGCTTTTAATAATGCTCTGTGTGCTTCAGTCGTTCAGGAGTGTCAGCGGCCTTTCTTTACTCGGTGTACTTGAAAAGTGAGATTGAACTGCTTCTGATTTGCTGTGGTGCTGTTTACTAGCAGCTGAGACCAGACAGAGAGTGTAAGTAGAGGGTAACTCACTGATAACTTCACATACCTTCTTCATCAGCCTCAGCCAGCCAGGAGCTTTGTCAGACCCAATCCGTTGAATTTGGAGGTTAGACTTTTGGTTATCATCAGGAGACTCTTCTAGCACTGCTATAGTAGATGACACCTTCATGGCTACATGAAAGGACAAAAAACCACAACTGCACAAACTTTTGCTGGAGTTCTTAATAACGTGTCTGACGGGTACGTGAGTGATTCGCAAGGCTGGGTGCTGTAGTGGTGGAACAGCTTGTTCCCTTTGGATGATGTTTCCTAAGAGTTGGAAGTCAGGTGGAAAACACATCTGAGGGAACAGACAAGTTCCACTAGATGTTTGAGGGCGCAGATTTGTCACCGGGGTGTTGCTGTGACGGATTCTGTAGTTTTTGGCAGGAGCCAGGGTTCACTTCCTGGGAAGCTGATAAGAAAAAATGGTTGACAGGGCCACCAGTTTTTTGGAAAGAACAAATAACGTTCATATGGATACAAAAAGTAATGCTGTCAAGTGACGTGTAATTGAGGGAGCAAACTGCTGTTCAGTGGAGGATAGGTTTATTTTTACGCAGTTAAAGTATTTTCTGAGAAGAATGTATATGCTCGATAACAAGTGCTAGAGGAGATTTCTTGAAGAAATTACTGCGATGGGATGTCTGGTATGTTGAGATAATACCAAGAGGCCATTGCCGCTTTATATCATAAAACGGGGGTTTTATTCCTTTCACTTTCTGTTATTAATCTGGCTCCAAAAGAATGTTCTTAAAAAAAAAAAAATTAGTGTTTTGTGGCTTTGCTGGGAGAGGTACTTTTGGAGAGCTTTCAGTGAGGGGTAGGGTATTGAAATGCACAAAACCCCCACGCCCGTTCTCTCTCCCTTTCTCCAGTAGATAGGAGGTGGCCCTGAACTAAATAAAGCTTTAGAAGTGCCATGTTAAAAGGGCTGCTCTTCCTGATGGTGAAGGCTTCACCCTCTACGTACAATGGCTTACAAATTCTTCTTAGCTTGTTCTGGGATTCCCATGTTTAAAAATGGGCTTCAGAATTACTTCTTGTGAACTGGGGTAGAAATGAACTCACTTAAGGCTTCCTGATAAATTATAAAGAAGCAAAAAGAGCACGACTGTTTCTCCCTTTAAGTGTGTCATCTTTAGGTTTGCTATTCAAAACCAGAAGAAACTGAGAAGACACATGCTATACGTCCAGTGAAGGCATTTTTGGCAGGTGACAGTGCAGACTTACTTTCAAACAGGTAACAGGGATTTAGGAACTGGCAGTTTCTAAGTGGATGTTTTTGTTTTGATTGCAGAGATACAGAACAAAGCCGTACTGCTGTGGCTTATGCAAGTTCTCGTCCAAATTGCTTACTTCATTCAAGAATCACTTGCACCGTTACCATGAGGATGAAATGGACCAAGAGCTGGTGGTTCCTTGCCCAAAATGTGCATTTGCTTCTGATCCCAAAATAGTGGGAAAACACATCCGAATGTTTCACTCGTCTAATAAAAGAATACAGAACTATACAGTCAGCATTTTGGATGGCATGAAACAATTCAGGAGTGACATCATAAACTTTACATGTCTAAAATGTCACTTTACAGACACATTGTATTACAATATGAAGAAACACGTGCTGATGAACCATTTTCAAAACTTAATAAGTACGTATTTTGGCCAGAAACCTGATGAACATAAAGAGAATTCTGTTGAGCACTACTGTAAAAAATGTAATGCTTCTGCAAACAGCCAGGATTCTTTAATGTTTCATGTCTTGACAGCTGAAACACACCGAGACCTGGAGAACAAACTTCGATCCGTGATTTCAGAACATATTAAGAAGCCAGGACTTGTGAAGCAGATGTATATTGCTCCAAAGCCTCCCCTAGGTGTGACAGCGGCTGCTCCCTCCTCAGGGCCTGCCGCTGCCCCAGCAGGTCCTGCCCCAGCTCCGGAGTGCGTCCAGCTTGCAGTTCCACAGAATAATCAAACCCAGAGTGTGGTGCAGCCCAAAGCAGTTCAAAACACAGTCGGATCCCTGACTGTTCCAAGTGCCTCTGGTAGCCTTCCACAGACAACTTCTGCGCCGGCTGTTATCCCGTCACACGTTACTCTTGTACCTGGTAATCTTCCCGTAGGTCAGAGCAACGTTAATATTCAGCCGTCGCCTTCCCAGCCCATCATCGTTTCCCATGGGCTCCCCCTTAACCAGCCTGTTGGGGCTGGGGAGATTCCTCTTAATCATTCTGTCGGGACCGTGAATAGAGCGGTGGCCCCCGCAGTTCTTCCTCTCAACCAGCCTGTCGGGCCCGGCCTCTTCCCTATTAATCCGCCCATTGGTACTATCAATGGTCCGGTGGCCGCCGGGGCGCTGCCTGTTACTCAGCCTGTCAGCCCCGTGAATCGACCGGTTGCACCAGGAGTCCTCCCCGTGAATCGACCGGTTGCACCGGGGGTTCTCTCCGTCAACCAGTCGCTTGGGAATGTGAATAGACCCGTTGGTCCCGGCGTCCTCCCTGTCGCGCAGGCATCGGGCGTTCTCCAGCTTAACCAGCCTGTTGCCTCCGGGGTTGTTCCTGTCAGGCAGCCTGTCAGACCTGGCTTTCTTCAGCTTAACCAGCCAGTTGCCCCAGCAGTTATCCCAGTAAATCAGCCAGTCCAACCCGCAGTTTCTCAAAACGCGACCTTTTTGACTGCCGGTTCCATACTTAGGCAGTTGATTCCAACTGGTAAGCAGGTTAATGGGATACCTACGTACACGCTTGCCCCAGTTTCAGTGACTCTGCCTGTACCTCCTGGGGGTGGAGTAGCAACTGTTATGCCACCACAAGTGCCCATCCAGCTCATGCAGTCTGGGACGGTGACTCAGTTGTCCCAGTCACCGGCTAGCGCGCCCTCTCCTCCCGTGCTTTTAACGTCTCAGAATATATCACTGCAAGGCTCCCCCCCCAGTCCTGAAACCAGTCAGGCTATGAGACAGGCGAAGCAGTGGAAGACGTGCCCTGTTTGCAATGAGCTTTTCCCTTCCAATGTCTACGAGGTGCACATGGAGGTGGCCCACAAACACGATGAAGTAAAAAGGGAGCAAACCCCGGAACCTGACAAACTTGCAGCTTGCGCACCCTTCCTGAGGATGACGGAAAAGACGGTCCGGTGTTTCTCTTGTCAATGTTTTCTCTTTGAGGAGGAGCTCATGAAACATCTCTTGATGCATGGCTTAGCTTGCTTGTTTTGCACAGTTACTTTCCATGACTTGAAAAGCCTCGTGGAGCACAATAAAGTTACACACAACGGGAAGCAGCAGCTACACGCAGATTATAGCAACAGGGGGTTTCAGCTCAGTAGTGATGCTCAGGGTAACCTTGTATTTCCACACTTTGATTTCAATACAGCGTTACCGAAAGAAGACCTCGGTGAAAGAGAGGTACATTTGGCAGTGCTTGTTGGAGTCCCGCTCAATTCGAGGGTACTTGTCCCCATTTACATCAAAGTGAAGCCTCAGACAGCAGATGCGAACAACAGGTGCAACAAGAAAGTGTTAACCTGTCCCTTTTGCTTTGGTACGTTTGTGAGTAAAGAAACCTATGAAATGCATCTGAAAGAGCGGCATCACATAATGCCGACTGTACATACCATTTTGAAGTCTCCTGCTTTCAAATGCATCCACTGTTGCGGTGTGTACACTGGCAATATGACGCTGACGGCCATTGCTGTACATTTGCTGCGCTGTAGAAGTGCTCCCAAAGACAGCAACTCGAGTGTGAAGATGCAGCTTGAGCGGACGGAGAAGAAGGAGCTGCTGTTTGTGAACGGCGAGAAGCATGTCACCGTGCTGCTGAAAAGAAAGCAGTCGGATTCCTGCTTTGTTGCAGAAGACCAAAGGAGTAAGGAACAGCAGCCTCTGAGCTTAAGTACTGGCATAGCTCTGTCTCCAGAAAACGAGGTGAATGCAGGGGTAGTGCCTTTCAAACGACAGAAGGTCAATAGCAGGACTGAGGTGAAGAAGCTTCCTTCCAGTGAGGATCTTCGCATTCTCGCGGTTGATCCCAGACAGTACGATCACAATTCGTATGAGGCTCAAAACCAGTTTTTGACAGACTACTTTCACGAGAGGCCATACCCTTCTAAAAAGGAGATGGAAGTACTGTCCTCGCTGCTGTACGTGTGGAAAATTGATGTGGCGTCGTTCTTTGGAAAAACGAGGAATCTCTGCTTAAAGGCGATCAATAATCACAAACCGTCTGTGCTGCTGGGTTTCAGTATGTCCGAACTAAAAAATGTTAAGCACAGTTTGAATATAAAAGATGAACCATTAGATGTGTAAAGTAGCCTTTTATAACAGCTAAAAGCAGTCTGTAATTGCATACTTACCAGTTTAGCGGTTTATTGTATTATTTGTTTTAATTTGCATACTGGCCTGTTGAAGGGTGCAGTAGTACAGAAAGTCTCGTTCAGTTGTGACTGTTATTGTGAAAGGCACACGTAGTTGTGTATTTGAAAAAGCTAAAACCTTCAGACACATCTGGAATTTGTTTTGGCTTTTTACTTTTTCTGGAGTAGTGGGGTTTTTTTGTTCCGTTTCCTTTTCCTCCCCTCCAGGGTCCCATTACACTTTTTATACCACCATGTAAAACATTTGTCCTGTTAAATTTTATTTTATTGTTCTGCAATGTCGTCATCTTTTCTAAACAATAAAATGTATAATGTTGGTTAAAATACTGAGGTAAACTATGTGAAAAACATCTATTTGATTATTTGTGGGTTTAAGTCCTAATATTTTTTAGCCTATTTTTGTTTTATCTACTGAGGAAGTGATTGTAGCCTTTATATCTATTGCCCCTTCAAATTCCCAGTGCACTGGTAGCAATAAAATACATGGCAATCTTTTTTTTTTTTTTTTTCCCCTTTTTTTTTTTTTTTTTTTTCCTCTCCTCAGTCAAAACACCAGAGCCAGTTCAGTCTGGTGACTGGTGGCACCTAACTGGTGTTAACAGGGCGGGGCTGGAGGGGTGCCTATTGAAGTATTTTAATGAGCTGACTTGAGATGGTTGTTATCTGTTAAATAGATCCTGCTACCCAGAAGCGTTCACTCTTTTTGTTGGTGTTGCAGCCTGTTGTTCGAATGCCCCTTGTTCAGAGCTGTGCAGCGGCGGTTTTCAAAAAGCAGAAAGGCTTTGGAGAGTGTCGGATTGCTTTGGTCCGCGGAGGACGTGACTTCTGTGGGCATCGCTTCTCTGCGGAAGCCCCATCCAAATGTCACCGAGGTTTGATGAAAAATCTGATGTTCTTTTCAAGCTGCTGTTGCGTGAGGTAGTGGCTGAGCAGTGCCTGCTCCCCGGCAAGTGGGGTGCGCCGTGGCTTGGAGTCCTCCCGGTCAGGAGCCGCACAGACTGCCGCTGGACTAACGGCTGGCGCCAAGGCGC